AAAACAAAATTGTGAAAATAATTGTTTTAATTTTTTCATTTTCCAAAAAATTATGACAAAAAAAAATACAACTTCAAAAAACTCGCTATGCCTCTTATGAAGTACGTCGGACTGTCTGCTTTGCAAAAAGGGGTCATTTGGGAGATATCTGCACTGTTCTGACATTCTTGGACCTCAAGAAATTAGATTGGCTGTCAGTACTTGATTGACCAATATTCGGATATATCCCATAGTTTGTGAACTCTATAACTTTCCTACAAACTAAAAAATACATCCTAATTTGGGTTATTTTCACCAAAGACATGTCGCAGAATACATCTTGGCCTAAATTTATGAAGAACAATTATTTATTTGAAAACTTTTATAACAGAAACAAAGAAAAACGTGTTTTTTTTTTCACAATTTTCGGTCTTTTTTTGTTAATTTAGCAAAAAAAAATAAAAACCGCAGTATTGATTAAAAACCACCAAAAGAAAGCTCTAGTTGTGTGAAGAAAATGATACAATGTTAGTTTGGGTACAATGTTGTATGACCGCGCAATTGTCATTCAAAGTGTGAGAGCGCTGAAACCTGAAAAATGGCCTGGGCAGAAAGGGGGTAAAAGTGCCCTGTATGGAAATGGTTAAGATCTATGACACAACTATCAACCCATCCCTGCATGCAAGTGTGCTAGGTGTAATCCTGGACTCTGAATACCTCCTTTCGGCCCCACATCCAATCACTGTCCAGAGCTTGCTACCTCAACCTACGCAACATCTCCAAAATACATCCCTTCCAAACCAATGACAAAATTAGCAACATTTTTTGAACATATGAATGCAGGTTACAGTTTGAGTCCATAATGATGGTTTCTTTTGTTTACAATTTAAACTTTACTACATTCACTAAGTTCTGGGGCAATTTCCTTTGCGAGATGCAACTTTCCTTGCAAAGTGAACAACCTATTTGCCTTTAGTAAATCAACATTATTTTGTTTAAGCTGAAGGGATACAGTATTTCTCTAGTATTTCTCTAGTATGTAGGGCTTCAGGCTAGCACAACTGGACTTTTGTGCTAAAAATCAATATAGTAGATAGCTAAACACAAATATGAACTTCATGTTATAAAAAAATTTTTAATTTGTATGACTAAAATCTATGACTTTGAAAGGAGGTGCCGACCAGAAGTCTACATATAAAATCTTCCAACCCACAATGTTACTTATGCTTTAACAAGTGGTGTTCTATTGGTTGGTATCTCTTTTGTGTGGAATGGAAAGTGAAAGTTTGAATTGACAGTAAACCCGGTTTAAAAAAAAAAAAATCTATAGAAAAAAAAATATTTTCAAGGACATACTCTTAACTCAGAAAAAACCTTTTTATTGCTCCCAGCCGCCTCCAAATTATTTTTTTTTTTGCTGCTGTAATCTGACATCCTGTTAGAGGGTGGCTACATTTGTTCTCCATGGTTCTCCCTACTGTATGTAGGGATATAGTCATCCTTATTTGCTTGCTGCTTAAATGGACCATGGGATTTGTAATGTGCATAGAGCTGTGTACATGGCCGCAACTAACATGCACTGCTCATTCTAGACAAAAAAGAGGAGTAAAGGAGATGTTTGGGAGCTCAATGAGGACACAAGGAGGCAGGAAAACACAGTAAGAAACAATATCGTGAAAACGGATTACAGGGCCATTAAGTAACAGATGTGTATGGATCAGGGGCGGACTGACCATTTGGAAACTCGGGCAGTGCCCGAGGGCCCGGGGTCAGTAGGGGGCCCCATGAGATGCCCCTGGTACCTTTTTCATAGGCTTTTTTGAGTTTGGGAAAGGACACAGGGACCCCATGATCCCCTGTTGCCCGGGGGTCCCATGAGTTGTCAGTCCGCCCCTGGTATGGATTACATTTGGAGAATAAGGATATTGCATAGTGTCAATTGAAGTCAGTGCAAGGGGTGGGATTAGTGACCTGGAGCGGCACATGCCACTGGGAAAGGCCCCGCGCTCCTTCTCTATTTTGTAACTGCCGTGGTTTTATTGGTGAACTTTACCTAGCTGTTTAAATGGTTCCTGTTTTAAAGTCTTATTAAACCCAAACATAAAAATGTAATACATTGCATCTTACCAATTCGTAGATGTGATGGCTGCATTCTTTCTTTTTTTAGGCTTTTTTTCTTCCGTTTTCACTTGTTGATCCTAGCAGCAAAGTCTGTTATTTTTCAGCTTACTTTAGCAGACAAGTAAAAGTTCAGGAAAAGTGGTAGTTAGAGGGTTGAGACAAACAACTTAACACTGGCAGGGGTGCTTACAATGATCAGCTTTTATTTATTTATGTAAACCCTTTATCCCAAAAGGAAAAAAACTGTTTTTTGTAACTGCTTAAAAAGTGTTATCTGGAGCCCAGGAGCAGCTAGTGCTGAAGAAAACTAATGACTAGCTGTTTGTCTTTAGTAAATCAAGTATAATAGAAGGGCTGAAACTTCTACCTTGCTGTAAAATTCTGTTCCCTGTGCTGGTCGCCTAACCAAAAAGCTAGGCACTTGTTTGATCAGGATCAGAGTTAAAATGTACTGACCATCCTTTTCAACAAAGGTCATATGACCAAATGTCTAGGCTTTTGGCCATCTGAACAGCATTGGATCGAACAGAGCCGTGTTTTCTCCAAAAAAGGTACCGGTAAGGATTTTGACACTTCTATTCATCCACCTCGGCCAGATTGCTAACATTTGAACACAGGTCCACTTTAAATCTGTTGCTAAATGCCTTCAGCAAGCTATATGAGAACTGTGATTCTGTCCTGTACTTCACTACAGAATAGCTGTAAAATAATAATGTAGCAGTTAACATTTCATAAAATATTAACATAATTGCCATTGATTTGCAAATTAAAGAACACTACGGCCAAATCTTTTTTAAGTATTCATATATTACTTAAAAGCTTATTAAAATCCACTATATTGCCACAATAAAAATTCTTTGCCATTTGTGTTCAAATAGGGATTTAAATTACACCCTGTCCAGCACAGCATTAAACTCATTTCATGCAGGACATTAGACATGTTGTAAATACATTACAAAGTGAAAGATTAACATAAAACAATTGTTTTTCAAAGTTCGCTTAAAGAAAACTGCCCTTTTGTTGTTTAAATACAATTATATTAGAGAAAAACAGCACTTATAACCCCAGAGATACGATGGGGCAGATGAGTGACTCTGATAGATGCTGTTTGTGTCAACAAACTTTTGTTCGCCTACCAGATGTCCCCCCCATGTAAAAATATAATAATTAAAAAAAATAATTCATTTTATTACAATTTATATTGGGAAGCAATCATTTGCCTGCAATCGTCTGTTAAACGTTTTTACCCTGGACTGGTATATTGTACCAGTTTTAAATGAATTTTGGCAGCTCAAGCAAATCATGCATAGAGAGCTTATGCCCTTGAAGTGACACTAAATTCTGGTTTCTGAAAAAAAAAAGAAAATTCTGTTAAGTAATTTACATTTATGTATTATACGTGTGTAAAATTTGCATACAGATAGTATGCATTCTTATCATAAATACGTCTCTTCTATTGCTCTCAGCCTCCTCCAAAACTCCTAATTCCTTTTATTTGTTGCTGTGATCCGACTTCCTGTTGGAGAGTGGTTACAATCGTTCTCTATGGTCCCTCTGTATGTAGGAATGTTGCCACCCCCTCTTGCTTGCTCTCAAGAAGGACTATGTACTATGGGATTTTTAGTGTGCATAGAGCAGGGTACATGACCAGATTTAATGTGCAATGCTTGTTCCAAATAAACAGAAGTGAGGGGGTAAAGAGGTGGTTTGGGAACTCAAATATTTTGATAAGACAGAAAAACAAAGTAAACTTTCTGCTTTAGACAAACCTTCACATAATTTTTGTTCCTTTTCTTAGGTATTTATTTTTGCTTTTTCGTAAAACACTTTGAGAAGGTACTATTATATATGTGCTATATAAAACTAAGTTTTGTATTATTATTACCTGTAAAATGAAGCAGTAAATACTCACCTTTCCTTGTGTTCATACCCCTAAACACCACTCTGCTAACTAGAACCGGTCCTCTAAAGCCTGCTGGGAAACAGACACCTCTGGGAGTATTGATCTCCTTGTTCCCCTGCAGCTCTCCCTAATTCCACTAAAGGAACGCATCTTTCACAAATGGTGCTGTCACCGACACCACAAATTGTTGGTATACATGAAGCAAGATGATACAAACATCCCATCTGTCTTGGCTCTCATAGCTCAGGTCATCATTCTTAGGTGTCTTTCAACCTTAAAGACTTAGGACATCCTGTGGCGGAGAAGAGGTACTGTAGTAGACAGTATCAGACTGGAGGTACAGCAACCAAAACAACTTTTTTGTGTTTAAAATCTGCTGAAGGACATTTCTTAAATGGAAAACATTAACCCATAGCTTGGCTTCAAGCTGGTGATAAAGAGCATTTTGGATATAGATACACTATATTGCCAAAAGTATTGGGACACCTACCTTTACAAACACATGAACTTTAATGGCATTCCAGTCTTAGTTCGTAGGGTTCAATATTGAGTTGGCCCACCCTTCGCAGTTATAACAGCTTCAATTCATCTGGGAAGGCTTTCCACAAGGTTTAGGAGTGTGTTTATAGGAATGTTGGAGCATTCTTCCAGAAGTTCCTCCACCCCAAACTCGCTCATCCATGTCTTTATGGACCTTGCTTTGTGCACTGGTGCGCAGTCATGTTGGAACAAGAAGGGGCCATCCCCAAACTGTTCCCACAAAGTTGGGAGCATGAAATTTGCCAAAATGCCTTGGCATGCTGACACCCTAAGAGTCTCCTTCACTAGAACTAAGGGGCCAAGCCCAAACCCTGGAAAACAACTCACATCATAATCCCTCCTCCACCAAACCTTACACTTGGCATAATGCTGTCAGGCAAGTACCGTTCTCTTGGCAACTGCCAAACCAGATATGTCCAGTGTAATTCATCACTCCAGAGAACACATATCCACTGCTCTAGAGTCCAGTGGTGGTGTGCTTTACTCCACTGCATCTGACGCTTTGCATTGCACTTGGTGATGTAAGGCTTGAATTACATGGAAAGCCATTCCATGAAGCTCTCTACACACTGTTGTGCTAATCTGAAGGCCACATGAAGTTTGGAGGTCTTTAGCTATTGACTCTGCAGACAGTTGGTGACTTCTGTGCACTGTGGGCTTCAGCATGCGCTGACCCCACTCTGTAATTTTATGAGGTGCTGTTTTTCCCAGTTGTTTCCACTTTGTTATAATACCATTAACAACTGAACATGGAATATTTAGTAGCAAGGAAATTTCACGGCTGGACTTATTGCACAGGTGCCAACCTATCTAGGTACCATGTTTGAATTTGCTGTGCTCCTAAGAGCAACCCATTCTTTCACAAATGTTTGTAGAAGCAGTCTGCATGCCTAGGTGCTTGATTTGATACACCTGTGGCCATGGAGGTGATTGGAACACCTGAATTCAATGATTTAGAGGGATGTCCCAATACATTAGGCAATATACTCTAGGTAAGTCCTAAAGGCGCTCAGCAGCAGGGCCCCTTTGCAAATGCATCTTCTGTTAACCAAAGTATTTCTACACCAATGGTCTGAACATTTTTGAGCTGTAGCAGGAGTTGAAGCCTGTCATGGAAGGTACATTTTTTGGTTTTAGACAGTGACTAACTGTTTCATAAAACTCTACAGAAAAATTCTCCCAAGCCACTCTTGATGTAAGTGAAAGTTCTGTTTTATCCAGATCTTGGTATAGCTAGTAGTATTTAGTCACATTCAACTGGACTTGTTCTGTATTGTTGAAGACATTTTACCTTTCACCTAAGGACAGACCCTAGCATAATGCATTTATCACCATATAGGTAATTCAGCCAACTGTATCCAATCACCATGGTACTCTAATGCTTGACACAATACTAATGGTTACAGACTATAGCTGGCTAGAGTAGCATTACCTTTATCAGTCCCTTTTTCCTTAAGGTCTCTCCAGGACCTAATACACAATATTGCTGTCCATGACCAGACGGTGCATGAGAGGGTGAACAGATATATAAAGGAGTACTTGTGGTCCTTGAAAGAGTCATGCATGTATTTTTGATTCAGCAGGTGAGTAGCCAGTAGTGCAATCCAGAGGCCGGTGGAGGTTAGGGTTGGAGATGGTCAGTAATGTAAGCAAGGGACAGGCAGAGGTCAGGATAGGCCAGCAAGTGTAATGTAGAAACAGGCTCAGGTTAGCCTGACATGACTCGTGCATTTAGACAATATTTGCTTTTCCTGGAGTTCAGGGCAGGTGGTAAACATCATCTAGAGACAGGCAGAGGTCAGGGCAGGTGGTGATAAGCAAGCCTAATCCAGAAACATAAAGAAAAAAAAGTGCAGCGCTATGAAACTAAAAATGCTCTACTCACAATAGTAACACTGTGTAAATCTATAATAATCATTGGAGTAATAACATACTGTAAATGATGCAATTTTTTCAATATTTCCAAAACAATTCAAAATAATATACACAAGAACCTTTTACATAAATGTATTTAAAGAAATGTGTCCCTGAAGTCCAGATTCAGTGTCCTATATGAATTGTTGACACTCTTCACACTTGGAAATAAAGTGACATGTCCCCAAATAGACCACCACAAAACTTTCTCCACCAAGTGTCAGCCAGTAAGCTCACCTCAAATGAAGACCTCAAGATTTATAAGAGGTCAAAACAGCACAAATGTAAACCATGCTCATCTAGATCTTTCACCAAAACCAGTACATCATGGGTTAACCAGTGGACATCTTTAGCGGCTCTGCTTGCAAATGTAATAAACCATGCAGACAACCGCTGACAGTGCTCTCTGCTTTATTAAAAGATTCCTTAAGTGCACATCAGAACTACTTAGATAAATGAAAACTTATATACTTCATAAAAACAACATACTGTATATACCTTAAAACCAAATTCCATCCATCCAACAAGCTGTAATATTCATCAGTCTGACCTAGTGAAACAGACAATAAACTTGCAGAGATCGCCAGATGGAAGCAGCCAGCACTTCAGCGCTCATCAGCCAAAAGATGCAGAAGGTGTCGGAGGGAAGGAGGCAAACAGCCTGAAGGGTGCCGGTGGGATGACGAAAACTTACAAAACTCTGCCCCCTTATGCGTTACACCCCAAAAGAACTTCATCAGAGGACAAAAAAAATCCAAATCCAGAAACAGGCAGAGGTCAGAGCAGGTGTCGGTCAGTAAGTATAATCCAGAAATTAACTAAAAATTCTTCCTGCGCCAAGTGAAACACCCTACTACAGGATCTATCCTACTGCTGTGCAATGTGGTGAACACAAAATGTGATAAATATAAATAAACAGCGCAAACATAAACCTCTATATCAAATCAATACATAAAGTGCAAACATATATAGAAAATTATATTAATAGTGAAAGTCCATCATAGTTAATAGACAACAAAAGTTCAGAAATCTCAAAAAAAATATTTTTTGTGCAAAAAAAATCACAAATTCTTCTTCTAATGTAAAGAAAAAACTTCCACCTTCCACCCGTGCAAACCAACATCAAATGCACTCACCAAATTTAGGTGAATGAAACGCCTTTTAGGAATTTATATGGGATCCTAAACCCTCTTTCGTATCCACTCTATAGGAATCCTCACCTTCAGTGCAGGCTCCACCATACAACCGGGAGAGAAAAATCTCAGATAGTGTGATATTGCAAAATACCGTTTTTAAATAAAAACAAGGATTAAGGCCACTCACATTTAAATCACTTTAAAAAGGCATATTTATTAGGACAAGCTTCTTCCAAATGGACAATGAATGTCAGACAACCTCCTCAGGAATCTCACATCACAGCTCCAGGATACAGCAGAAGCTCCACAGAGACCAAACATGCACAGATCCCAAAAGATGGCCGCTGGAACGCACCGCTCAGCGTGCGCTCCACTCACCGGAAGTGACGTCAGACGTACGGGGTAAAAACCGGAAATGCGTCTTTAGACACATTTCCGGTTTTTACCCCGTACGTCTGACGTCACTTCCGGTGAGTGGAGCGCACGCTGAGCGGTGCGTTCCAGCGGCCATCTTTTGGGATCTGTGCATGTTTGGTCTCTGTGGAGCTTCTGCTGTATCCTGGAGCTGTGATGTGAGATTCCTGAGGAGGTTGTCTGACATTCATTGTCCATTTGGAAGAAGCTTGTCCTAATAAATATGCCTTTTTAAAGTGATTTAAATGTGAGTGGCCTTAATCCTTGTTTTTATTTAAAAACGGTATTTTGCAATATCACACTATCTGAGATTTTTCTCTCCCGGTTGTATGGTGGAGCCTACACTGAAGGTGAGGATTCCTATAGAGTGGATACGAAAGAGGGTTTAGGATCCCATATAAATTCCTAAAAGGCGTTTCATTCACCTAAATTTGGTGAGTGCGTTTGATGTTGGTTTGCACGGGTGGAAGGTGGAAGTTTTTTCTTTACATTAGAAGAAGAATTTGTGATGATTTTTTGCACAAAAAATATTTTTTTTGAGATTTCTGAACTTTTGTTGTCTATTAACTATGATGGACTTTCACTATTAATATAATTTTCTATATATGTTTGCACTTTATGTATTGATTTGATATAGAGGTCTATGTTTGCGCTGTTTATTTATATTTATCATAATCCAGAAATTAGCAAAAGGTCAGGACAGTTATCAGACAAAAAAGACAGAAAATTTTGAAAATAAATAAGTAAGAAGTTTGCAAATAAATAAATAAAATTGTTCTTCATAAATTTAGGCCAAGATGTATTTTACTACATATCTTTGGTGAAAATAACCCAAATTAGGATGTATTTTTTAGTTTGTAGGAAAGTTATAGAGTTCACAAACTAATCTAATTTCTTGAGGTCCAAGAATGTCAGAACAGTACAGATATCCCCCAAATGACCCCTTTTTGCAAAGTAGACAGTCTGACGTACTTCATAAGAGGCATGGTGAGTTATTTGAGGTTGTATTTTTTTTGTCATAATTTTTTGGAAAATTAAAAAATTAAAAAAATTATTTTCACAATTTTTTTTTTTACATACTGTCACCAGTGCAGTACAGTGTCGTCATATAACTGGCATGGCAGTGATCAGGGACACTGACTGGTGACAGTATGAAAAAAACAAATATATATATATTTTTTTATTATTTTTAATTTTTTATTACTTTTTTTTTTTTTAAGATTTTTTTTCATATTTCACTATGTCCAAAGTAGTACAATGTTACCATAGTAACATTGTACTACTTTGGGGAAGTGATCAGTATTTTTTTTTTTTTACACAATTTGCTTATAATTACTTTGCTATAAGCAAGCATTTACCTGAATGACATCGATTCATTCAGGGTTTTTTTTTTTCTCTTTTTTTTGTGCTTAGCTGTGATTTGGCCACAGCTAATCACATGACACGTGCATGTGATCACTGTGACCATTCACAGCTAGACACTAGTATACAATGGATGGCATGAATGTCATCAGCCGTGTTCGAGGTACACGGACGGTGACAGATCACGCCGCTGCACGGCTCTGCAAGCACGAAAACTGCGCATGTGCGGGAGGATGCCATATGGCGTCCACCCGGAAATCTACAGCCTTTTCCCACCTGCCAAACGGCTATTGGCCGGATGGCTATTGGCTAGAGACGTTCAATAGGATTCAAATCAGGGCTCTGGCTGGGCCACTCTAGGATATTCACAAAGTTGTTTGTAAGCCACTCCTGTGTTGTCTTGGCTGTGTGCTTAGGATTGTTGCTATGTTGGAAGGTAAATCTTTGGCCCAGTCTGTGCACTGTTGAACAGGTTTTCATTGAGGATAGATCTGTACTTTGCTCAGTTCAGCTTTCCCTCAACCCTGATCAATCTCCCAGTCTCTGCTGCTGAAAAAACATCCCCACAGCATGATGCTGCCACCAGGGCAGGTGATGAGCGGTGCCTGGTTTCTTCCTGACATAACATTTAGAACTGGGGCCAAATCAGGTTCAATCTTGGTTTCATCAGACCAGAGAACTTCAAACTCCAAGTGTGCTTTCATGCTTTCTAGCCACTCTGCCATAAAGCCCAGATCAATGGAGAGCTGCAGTGATGGTTGTCCGTCTGGGACTTTGTCCCATCTCCATGTAGGATCTCCAGAGCTCAGTGAGTGGGACCATCGGGTTCTTGGTTACCTCTCTTACTAAGCCCCCCCCCCTAGTTGCTAAGTTAGGCCAGGCGACCAGCTCTTGGAGTAGTTCTGGTTCCATTTGAGAATTATGAAGGCTTCTGTGTTCTTGGGAACCTTCAGTGCAACAGAAATTTCTCTAACCTCATGGCTTTTGCATTGTCACCTTTTACAGAGAGGTATGTGCCTTTCCAAATCATGTCCAATCAATTTAATTTACCACAGGTGGACTCCAGTCAATGTGTAGAAACATCTCAGCAATGATCAAGAGAAGTGGAAAGGACCTGAGCTAAATTTACAGTGTTGTTGCAAAGGGTCTGAATACTTATGCCCATGTGATATTGCAGTTTTTCTTTTTCATACATTTGCAAACATTTCTAAAATTCTGTTTTCACTTTGTCATTATGGGTTTCTGAGTGTAGATTAATGAGAAAAGAAAATGAATTTAAACAAGTGTACTATCAGGCTGCAACATAACAAAATTGAAAAAAGCGAAAGGGGTCTGAATACTTTTTACAAAAGGTCTGATTGTATTAAAAAAGTATACAAACTACAGTAATGAGCAAACTTAAAAAATCTACAAATGTATCAAAAGAAAAGAAAAGCAAGGAAAATGCATTAAAGCACCCGCATAGGACACATTGTGATTTTATAAACATTTCAGATACAACAAACATAGTTCTGCTGCCTCAGGCTAATTTTTGAGGGAGATTGGAGTTTGATTGACCAAAGGGGAGTGACATTAGATAAAAAAGAAAAACGGATTTAAAAGAGAAATGATAGAAAGAAGCTTAAGAAAATGTGCAGCTTAAATATGAAAAAAGTGAGGAATCGAATGTACTGTGTGGAATGTAGATTTCCAAATGTACAGTATATCTTATCTGTCTATAATTTTAATTATGCTCGGACGCTGCTCACTAAATTCTTTGACTCAGATACAAGAGTGGATGAGCTTAATTAAAAAAAATTGTTTGTTCAGTTCTTCCCTAGCCAAAAGGGTAAAGAAGTCAAGAGCTCGGAAAAGGAGAAAGGACAAATGAAGATGATATTAAAAACAAATGTGTTACAGGCACAATATTCTATAAAGCTGAAATTACGCTTTGAAGTCTCACACCTTATTGCCTGTTCTGTGCCCCCTGATGTTATGGTTTGTGACTGATTTTTCCTTGGAAATTCCTTAAAGGGGTAACTCCACTTTTGTTGAAAAATAACATTTATCAAATCAAAAAAAAAAAAAAAAAAAAAAAATATATATATATATATATATCTCTCGTTTACAATTATGACTCAAGTCATATTGTAATTGAATGCTATTAACCACTTCCAGACCGGACACTTTTACCTCCTTCCTGACCAGGGCAATTTTCAGCTTTCAGCGCTATCACACTTTGAATGACAATTGCGCGGTCATGCAACACTGTACTCAAATGAATTTTTTACCATTTTTTTGAGACAGATAAAGCTTTATTTTGGTGGTATTTATTCACCGCTGGGATTTTTTTTTTTTTTTGCTATGTAAATGAAAATGTCCAAAATTTTTTTAAAAAAAAGTGTTTTTTTTTATAAAATTTTGCAAATAAATAATATTTCATCATAAATCTTTGCCAAAATTTATTCCGTTATCTTTATAGTAAAAAAAAATCCAAATTAGTTTATAACCAAAAATTATAATTTTTAAACATTTTCTTTTAAATTTTTATTTTTATTTTTTTTATATTATTTTTATTTTTATTTTTTTTTTTTTTACATACTGTCACCCTAGCAGTACTACTTGTGGGAGGTGATGAAGATTTTTTTTTTTTTTTTACACACTGATTGCTTTTACATCCTATATGGGTGTAAAGGCAATAATTTCTCTTTCTCTCTGTGTGCATTCTTGCACTCATTGAGAAGTACTGAGTGAGCTGTGATTGGTCACAGCTTGTCACATGGTACAAGGCTGTTGTGAATAGCCTTGTATCATGTGACCTCTGTGATCATTTCCAGATTTCACGTAGTAAGCAATTATGTCACAAGTGACATCTTGCTTACTACTTTGCATGTGATCACTGATTGGCCAATCAGTCATCACATGATCGGGACCTGGTACAGAGGTCCCGTCTGACGATCGGTGTTTCACTGTGTCCAGAGGACACAGCGGGCACCAGATCACGGTGCTGCGCGCTCCGAGGGAGCGCGCACAAGCAGGGTGCGCGGAGGCCGTTTATAAACGGCCACCCGACTCTGTACTGCCACCGTCAGTCGGGAAGAGGTTAAAAATTACCTTTCCTTTTCAATCTGCAGAGCTGTAACTTTCTGTAAATGCAATGCAAAATGACTACCTGGAGGTGTTCTATACACAGATGGTGTACAGAATCCCCTCTGAAAATGTAATTTCCTACTTGTGTGATTGGCTTACTGATTTTCTCAGAAGTCTGCACTAAGACACAAGTTAGATTTTTTGCATCCCCTGCAACAAAATGCTATTTTTGGTGAGATACTCCCTATGGGAAATTACGTCTAAAGGGATGCAGACCTTGCCAGTTTACTCATTAGAGCCATGTAGGTACAACAGCTGATGGATAATGATAAAACCACTCCCATACAGATTCACTCTACACATGGACACTGACCAACAGGTAATTCTTCAGAATAACAAAAGGTAGGATCCTGCAACAAAATTGGTTCAAATCCTTTCAGCTTTCATAGATCACCCAGATGGAAATGTTTTTTTCACAAAAAAATCGGAGTTACTCTTTGAAGGAGAAGTAGGGCCAAAGCTCTTTTGGCCCTGCTTCTGTAGGTCACAGGAGTGCACTTAGTTCTGCCCTCCTGTGACACGTATTCAGCTGACAGTAGGTTGAAGTCTGCTGTCGGCTGACATCACTGAGCCAGTCCAGCTCTGGAGAGATCCCAAGTTTAAAGTCAGGATCCACCCAGATTCATGCAGCTGGCTCAGCCGCTCAGAGAGATGCTGAGAGCCTTAGCTTACCGCTCCCACCCCCTCTATACAGGTCTGCTCTTCAGTGAGCGCTGGAGGGGCAAAACAACCAGCCAGTGTCACCTGCTTTCTGCTCACTGAAGACCGAGAAACTGTTCTTTGATTGCTTGGCTCTCAGTCTTAGAGCGATGCTGCAGCCACCTAGGTGAGTTTGTTTCTTTTTTTTTTAATTCCCAAAGTTCTCTTTTAAAATATTTTCTGTCAGTGAGATTGCTGCTTTCTATACTTCTCTCCAGTGATCTATGTTGGCATAGATGAGTAACAATCACACTCATAATTACAAATGTCCTCATATGAACTTCTATTGCAGGATATAAAAGGGGCATTTCTGGCCAGCTGTGTTACTGGGAGCTGATAATTGATAGCACTAGCTTTAACTATGGTTTTTGTTAGACTGCAGTCATATTTAGACACCCTGCACAACTGTTGTAACAGGAAAAAGCAGGTAGGACTATAAAAATGGTGTTTGTTAGTACAATGTGTGTGACATCGTGTATTATTTATTTATTTGTTTTTAATAATATTTTTTACAAATTTAATAAATGTTAATAATAATAATAATAATAATAAATTATTATAATACTACTAGGATGTTATAGTACCAACTGGGTGGCACTTTACAAAATAAAGGTGACAATTACAGGGTAGGAGGGCACTTTTTTCCGTGAGAGCCCACAACCTTTAACCTCCCTACCGGTATGATTATTTCAGATTTTTGGTGCTGAAAGCGGGGTACCATTATTTTGCATGGAAATATGTAGTTTTTTTATTGTAGGCTGTAATTTTTAGGAATAACTCTGTCCGAACAAGAGTCTATTAAACATCCGGGTAGGATAAAATTTGAAACACAAAATCATAAATTAGATTTTAATAAATAATCATAACAAATAATAATATAATAATAATACATTTAATTCAATAATATAATCAAAACGAAAACACTGAAATTTGAAATATAGCGCCAAGTTCGCACATTGCTGAGCAAAGTCGCAAAATCATTTTCAGTGTCTGATGACGAATTTCCCCACGAATCATTATCACTCAATTCTGCAAGTAGTTCTAATTTACTATCGTTGTTCTCTAGCTGGTCTAAAACCGCTTTTGACCTAAAGGGACACTTTTTGGACGCCATGGACGTTTCTCAGTTTCCAGGCAGAAAAAAAACAGACAAAATGCAGGCAGGGCACAGGACAAAGCACTCGGGACAATATGTATGTGAAATGGGTTGAAAAAGGTAAGGAAAGCTGTGCAGGGAATCCCTATGCAGCGCCGCATGGTAAGCCCGAGTGCAGCTCGGGGTTACCGCTTTTGGTACTGACATTTTACCCCGAGCTACACTCGGGAATACCGCTAGGGAGGTTAAAGAAGGGGCATGTGATATAACAGGTAATAACCACATGGGATAAAGTTATGGCAAAGTAGAAGCACAGTTTTTGGATGAAGGTGGGATAGGCTTTCTTGAAGAGATGAGTTTTCAGGGATCACCTTAGGATAAAAAGAGTAGGAGATAGCTGAGAAGAATGGGGTTGGGAGTTCAAGATGATAGGAGAGTCTTTGCAAAAATCCTAGAGTCATGCATAGGGGGAGGTGATGAAAGAAAGGAGAAAGCAGGAGATCTTGGGAGGAGAGAAGAGGACAGTTTGCATGATATTTGAGGCTGGTGGTGTAGCTTGGGGCAGAAAAGTGTGTTTTGGTTTTGTATGTTGTTAGTATTTTGAATTTTACTTGTGTGGCTGCAGTTGGGCTTCAAGTCTGTTTTATCCTACAAGGTGTGCAAAATATATATACATATATATATGTATATATACATGCACATCAAAGATATATACTGTATATATTATCAGCTACCAGCTCCATTTATTTAATTGGGTTTACAAATGTTGAATGTTATGAACACTGTCAACGATCTTACAGTCCTGCTGTCCATCACTGTAATCAGCAAAGTGGAACCCTTCTTTCCTCTAGTGGCCTATGGAAGAGTTATAGAGGAAGGGCTCGTGTGCTCATAAGGTTCATGCATACTGCAGGAGGAAAACAACCGGTAGTACATTCATGTGTCTACTCATAAGGTTCATGCTTACTGTAGGAGGAAAACAGCCGGTTGTATCTTCATGTGTCTACTCTAGTAGACATTGATGTATTTTAATAACTGTGTCTATTCAAAGTGGTTTGGGCAATTCAAACCGCCCAGCTTTGCATACCATTTCAGTTGCCAATATGTTTAGATCTACAATTTTCTTTAACATGGGAAGTCATCCCTGTCTATGAAGTTATCTTCTATCTTTTATTTATCCCTATACTCAGTGTGAATCATCCTAGCTGGCGACAGGTTTACGGTAAGCAAAGTCAAAGTTAATGCTTCCTTAAGTACCTAACAGAGTATCACATTACAATAGATTCGCTGTTTTCATAAGTTCACATAATAGAACTTTTTTTTTTTTTTTGGCCATGCAATAATTTAAAAACGCCTGTGAAGATCTCAGGCTAGGATCAGCAGGTAGGTTGGTCTTTAAGTTCAGATTGTATTCTGTGGTTGCACTTGCTGTTATTCTTAAAGCTTTAATCAGGAGTGTCAATGGAAAACGGAGTCATGACCTTTGAAATAAAGCGTGGCAGGATTGAAGCGAAGCTGTGAATACTTTAAGCACTACTGGAAAGTTTTTTCTGGCTGCACTGTAACAAAAGACCTTGATAATTCAATGAGTGGGAGCTGCAGTTTGTGAGCATCATTTGGAAAATCTATATTAGAACTTGTTTGAGCTGCATTGTGCTGACAAAAGTTAGAGATGAAATGCCAGCCCCGCTGCTCTGGCATTAAACACTCTCACACACAATGAGAAGTCTGGAACCCCACCGATACAGACTTTGCCTTCTGAAGTCTACTATTTGGAACTTTTACAGAATATTTATTTGATAATTAAGCCAGAAAAAGACTCTTATTGAATAATCTCAATTGATCTTTGAAAGTCATAAACAGATAACTGGTGTTTGATAAACAGCTGGGAATTTTCCATTAGGTAGACCAAACTTAAAGTAGTACTAAAGTCTAAATGTTTTTTTTTAACCCCACTACCTCTCCTATACCCCCCCCCCCCCCTGTACCTAAACACCAACCTGGCTGCATGTCACAACTCAGCAGCACCTCCTTCCTTACTTCTTGCTTTTACAGACACTGAGAGCAGTGGGAGCCATAGGCTCCTGCCTTTGTGAGTAAAACTCCTGTGAGGAGTAAGTGGAAGCGTGCTGGTGCTGTGTTTGTCTATGGATGTGCACAGCTTGGCTCTGGAGTGTGAACTCTCCTTAGCACCCAGCTTGCTACAGGAGGCACCTGAAGGAGGGAGGAGCCAACAGCACCAGTGTGGACTGCCAGAAGAGGAGGAAAGAAATCTTTCCATGCAACATAACATCATTACACTGGGCAGGTAAGTATAACCTATTTTTATTTTTTTTTTTTTAAAGTTATTTTTTTGTATTACCATAAAGTGACTTTACTATAGCTGCAGACACATCACTTACCTCTAATAAAATATATCCTATGTTGAGTGCAGGAGCAGGAATCAGTGTATGAGTGTACGGTATGGGCTAGCCTGCGGAGCAGCACAACAGTTTACAATCTTACACAAATCTACAGTATTCCCCCTCCCAAAACTGGTCCTGTAGCACGTGCCTGAGTATTCCTTCTGAGAAAAATGCCAGTCTGGCTTAAGTTTGCAGGATTTTATCAGCTCTCCAATGTGAAATGTCACTTTAAGTTGTGGAGTCCTTCCAATGATCAGTAACAACACTTGTGGCGGCCTGACACAAACAGAGACCCATACTAACTAACTATAGGCCTGGACTCAGTCTCAAGGCACCAACACTGAAATGAGGTGCATGCATGATCTTACCGACCCGGGTCTGCTTTTCATCCGCCGGTGACTCTGAACAGAACAAATGTCTCTCCAACAAGCATGCGGTCTCGCCGTATATGTTGCCTTGTTCCTCTGCTCTCATCAGCATTCCTGGCAGCAATCTCATCAGCTTCCTGGCAGCAATCTCATCAGCTTCACTTATCTGCAGCTCTGGTTATGGAGGGATGCTTTCACACCTGGATGTCATCAGA